CAGATGCTTTTTTTCCTCTTCCTGGCTGTTTCTTGAGAACAGAACTTCCTGTAGGAATTATTTTTCTGTTTGTTTGTTTCATCTACATAGACATTTTTGTCTATATAAACCTCTCTTAATGGTTGCTAGCTATTAGATTGCAGCACTCATCATTACTTCCCTGCTGTCTTTGCCAGCCTAATTAGTGTTTTGTTCCAAATGTGGTCTATTACATGACCGTTGCATAGCTGAGATACTGTATTGAATTGTAAATAACAGCCTTTTCCTGTGGTTGTTGCCACTTCTAAATACACTGAATTAAGATAGAAAAAATAGTGGTTCATCTGTGCAAATTTACAGCATACAATGTAGGAATGTTCTGATTTCCCACAATATTTTTATATAGTATACTATCCTATATTTTTTTCTATAGGAGATATTATAAAAATTCCTGTTGCTATCAAGTCAAAGACTTTCCAGACAAGCAGCAGGAAAGACATAACCTTTGGAGTTCAATAGTTAGGCCTGTGTTGTTCAGCATATTCAAAAATTAGCTGGAAAAAAAGGTGTGATTGACGGTGATAAAAATTATGGATGATATTGACTGATGTAATGAAAACAAGAGTAGACTGAAAAACTATGTGGTCCTAGTCTCACTGTCCCTATCAAGAATATAGTTGAACTGGAAAATGCTCTGAGAAGATGAGTTCAAAGATGAACAGGATGACTTTCACGAGGAATGACAGAATATACTAAAAATGTTTGGAAAAGAGAAGATTAGCAGTGAGATGATGACCTAGGGAATGACATTTTTTCCCATAAAATAATGAGCTGCATCAAATGAAAGTAAGAGATAATTTTTTCAGAACAACAGGATATTTTTTTTTTCCTAGTGTTAATTTAGAGCGTGAAACTCCTTACTCAAGCGTACTATTTCCAGAGTATATAAAAAAATCTGGAGCAGATTAAATGCCTAAGTGGGTTCAGAAAGCATCTGGACAAAAGTGGAGGAAAAAGTGTTAAGGGACATTAAGCACAAAAAGACGATCTTTGGCTCTGGAAATCCCTGAGCCACATACCACTGGAGCCTGAGAAAGCTTTCTGTAGAGACGTATGTTTGTCCTGCTGTATGTTTCGCCATAAGCATCTGGTATCAATTGCTGTTGTAAACGGGATAGTTTGCTAGATGGACCTTTGCTATTGCTTTCAAAACTTTTAACTGCCTTTGCTCTACTTTCCTTCAAAGCACCTGGAGCCAGAATCATTCTTTATAGCACACTGTTGTTTATTATCTTGCAAAAATTGACTGAAATTCATGTCTCAGGTATACACCATGGTAATCAAGACATATGGTATAAACATACAGGTAGGATTACAGTTGGATCAGATCTAAAAAGAAGATTGCTTTATCATTTATTGTGCAAAGAGAAATAGTCTGGACACCTTGTAGTTGTGTTTTAACAATATTAGAAGAACCTGCAAAATTATGATAATAAATGACCCCGACACTGGATACTGGGTCTCAGACAATGTTAATTGCTAGAGAAATTGTTTTTGATAAAATGGAAAGCTATTTATTAGGTCAAAAGTCACTAAGGAAAATGTTGAATTTATTAGTTTCAGAATATTTGATTGGTAAAATTTGACATACATATGTATGTGGTGTTGGTCATTTCAGGGGACTGCAGGGTTCACAATTTATGTTACAGTAGCAATAAATGAAAGCCATCTGAACTTTATGTTGTTCCTTACTGAGACCAACCAATCTTCTGCATAAGGCAGTTCTCTGTTGTTGGGGGTATATGCTTTACATATTTTACATGCTTTTACTTCCAGCAGCCCTTGTGTTCCTTCATGGCAAGCATTCCCCTTTGGGCAACTGCCCAAACTCCTGGTTTACAAAGAGATTTGCTCATACCTGTTGTAGGTGTTTGCTGCCTTCCTTTTTTAGGGTGGTAGGGTCGTACAGTTTTGGATTCCCAGGTCTAATGTCAGCTCTAGAGAGTCATGCTTGACAAAATAGGGCTTTTTATAGCTTTTTATCCATGGACTCACTGCTGCTTCACAGTGTCTTTTGTCTGGAAGAGAGAGACTTGTATCATATTGTCATGGATGCAGCTCATACTGCTGCTTTATATTAGAAATGATAATCAGTTAGTTTGAGCATTACCCTTTTGCGTTCTACACATAACATAAATTTATTTGCCACCTACTCTTAGCTCGAGTGCTCAGAAGACCTTTCTAGCTTTTCAGAAGTTCAGATTTCCATATTTATACAAGGGTTTGTGGAACAATTATTGTGTTCTGTGTTGGCAGTCACTCAAAAATACTGTTAATTTATCTGTACATGAAAGAGGGATGTCTCATAAGGTCATGCAATTGGCCGGTATGGTGTATGGAGTCAGATGTAGGTTATACCCGTAAGCTGCAATTAACTTAGCAACAGTGAATTGAAGGTCTTTTTTCTTAAAGCACAGTAACCAAAAGTTTAGAATTCAAAAATACTTTTTCTTTCAAAACTTGCGAGCATTAAAAGAGCAGTGATGTCTGAGGATGCGGTGCACATCTACATACAATTTTAGTGACATTAAAGTGCAGCATGCTCTGAGTGATGAGGTGATTAATGATTTATCATTTAATTTAACCTTCTGTAACATTATTCTGAATTAGCTTGCTTGGGCAAGAGTATGTCTTAAAAATAATAATTAAATCTTGATTAATGTTTCTAATGATATCAAATTCATGGAAACTTAGTATGTTGCTTAGATAATAACAACTTTTGTTATTAACAGTGGCCCCTCATTTCCAGTCCGACTTGGAGCAAGGATTAGCTTCCAGCATGGACTTCTGTATGTTAGGGCATTGCCTTTTGTAATGCGGTTCTCTTTTGCTTTAAGTATTTACCTATTGCAGCCCTTTAACCCCTTTAGTCTATTTAGCTTCACAGAGTAAGTAAATTCCTCTTGCTTCCCATTGAAGGGCATGTTTTTCAATGCTTTATTTATTTTGACATTTCTCTGTCATTCTGTTCAACTTCTCATCCCGCTTGAAGAAGTTCAGGTAACACAGAGGTAATTTAATTTCCTTACTCTCTCAGAGTTTCCTTGGCTTTTTATGAATTTCCTCATCTTTATTAGATGTAGCTTCCCACTGGAAGCTCAAACTGGGCTGATTTTTCTCCATCATTTTTCAAGTCCTCTTCATAGCTGCTACTGTTTCCATCTTGTATATATGCTTAATGTTCTTGGTTTTAAACTTATATCTAGATTTTTTTATGATGAAGCTAGTGAGTGATTTAGATTGCTTACATTACCAATCTGCTTTTTGCATTATTTCCCACATGCCATCATGATGTCTAGGATAAAAAAGTAAATTGTATGGCATTCCTTTAGAAATACGTAGTGCAGTTCAGTTCGTTACCCTTTTGCCATTACATATGGAGATGCGTCATTTAAAATATTTTAATTCAGTTAATCATCTGTTACATGTTTTTAGGAAATCAAATGTCTTGTAGAACTTTGTTTCATCAAAACTATTATTTTTATCAACTAAACTATAATGTCACCTATAAAAACATCAAGGTAATTTGATAAGTTTTTTATGAGTTACAGTTGATGTGTATTATTATATTACAGACTTCTAAACCTGCATTAGTCAAGGTTTGTGTTAGCTATTTTGTTATAAAACCACAAGTAGATGTCAGGCTGACAATAGAAATAATACTGTCCAACAACACTAACACCTCTTAAACTGTGGACTCTAAACCAGTTTTCTTTTTCATCCTAGTTTTTTGAAACTTCCTCAACTTCAGTGAAATTAGAGTTAATATTCCAGACAGCAATGACAGACAGTTGGCCAATCCTTTTAGGGCTTTTTAATGCGAAGTACTCATGTTCAGGTACTTCAAAAGATGTTAGCATTGTTGGGCAGTATATTTCTATTCTCAGAGCAGGCTAACAAAATATCCCTCCTCTACAATACTGGTAAGGTAATTCATGAGATCTCTTTTTTACTTTCTCTCTTTAATTTTGGGCAGACTACCTAGCCTCAGTGCAATCTGAAATTTTGTATGTGGGGTTGGAGAAAAATATAAGACTGGGCTTAAAAGGAGTTTTGAGAATAGGTGTAGTAAAAATAAAGACCAAGACAGTGCAGAGAACAAACCAAAGCATTGTGGCATCCAGAATATTGTTGAATGAGCAGAGTTTTACAAGAAAGTGAATTGTCACAGTTGTAACAGGTTCAGTTTTACTGCAACAATCAAAGCAATCTGCTGCAGAATGATGTGCAGCCACGTGAAACAATGGCACTGTAACTGACTGCACTGATTGCAGACTTCAGACACCACATGGGGACTTGTGCCCCTGCGTTGCTGTTGTATTCTTCAAGCATAGATAAACCCGCTGTATTATTATGTGTTGTCATACTAAGGCAATACTTAACAGGAAACATGGTGTTTATTGTTTGTTCTCCATATATAGTTAGCAGTTTCTGCCAATTTTATTCTTGAGTGCTGTAATCAATGCTTTGTAGTTAAGAATGTTGCTCTTTTAACTTTCAGCTCTATTGTTTGAGGCTGTTCAGTGACTCAGGCAAATGCCATTACATCAGTCTGTGAATTCTGAAAGTAATTTTTGCATTTGGTAATAATGGAAAAATACAGGAAAAGACAAACTTTTTTTTTCCCCTCAATAGTTACCACTTTGGTAAAGTAGCAGGCACTGAAACTGTCTAAAATTCTAAATTGTCTAGAGGTCTTGCCCTGTTCTTGGGGTAGGGTACAGCCAGGAGGACGCAGCCAGGGGGCTAGAAAGTGCTCACTGTTCTGTAGAATGGAACCACAGTGGATATAATAATAGGCAAAGCTCAGCCCCAAATCTAAAGAGAACAAATCTCTGTTTTATTGCTTTTTCTTTTTTGTTATCCAACTCCAATGCACTTTTAAACCTGATTCTCTGAATAATGTTGTTCCACTTACAAAGCTGGAGTACTTTTTTACTGTGTCCTGTTTATTCTTTCAGGATTTGTGGATTTAACACTCCATGATCAGGTCCACCTGCTGGAATGTGCCTGGTTAGAGATACTGATGATTGGCTTAGTCTGGCGCTCCATGGAACACCCAGGAAAGCTTTTGTTTGCACCTAACCTATTACTGGACAGGTCAGTCTGCATGTTGCTGTGGATTATGTTATTTTATTTCTACTGCAATGAGATTAATATTTAGCCAATTAATAGTCACCACACTGATACTACAGTTCGACAGTACTTCATAAATTAAGCAGGGTTATAGTAGGTGAGACTCAATTGCAATCTTATTTATTTGTAGTGAAGACATTGTTTGTTTGTTTGTTTTTCTCCTGAAAACTGGAGTCAAATATGTAAAACACACACCTGCTTGCTGCCCTAAACCTTTTCTAGCCAATCTTGCTCATATGCTATAGGTGTTTCTAAGTGAGAGGGAAAAATCTTCATCTGTGCCATACAACATTCTGGATTTTAAGTGGCATTCTTCAGAAATAAAAGCAAGAAGACTGATATTTTTTTTTAATGTGTATTCTAGCTATCTTAATGCAAACTCAACTTCTCTTTTTTTCCTAGTCATGAAAAACTTCAGCCTTGGGAAAGAGTACCAAGAGAGAAAAACCAGTAAGCAGGGGTTTTGGCAAATGACTGGCAAATCTAGAAAAAGTTAGGATAGAGTCGTCCTACCTATTGATAGTCCTCTTTAGTTGAAGACAATTGCCCAAATAGCAGAGTTGGCAGGAGAGAGCTTATGTGTGCACACTGGTCACTTCAGTGCAGAGTTTGGCATCTTGGTCTAAATTGAAGGTGGAGGAAGAGCTGAACTGAGGAGACAAAGTATGTGGTGTGGCAGCTAAGAGCTGGGCAAGCTTCTGATCTCATCACGTAGCTGCATGGGCAGTGAGCTACAGAGGGATGGCAACAAAAAATCAAGGGCAGTGACTTCAACTAACTGCAACCATTAGCTGGGTGAATGAATCAAAAGTCTTATGAATAGAAAGTTGTCATTTGAGCAGCTTGCTCTGTTAACTGTGGGATACTGAGTTTTCATTTGCATTTGTAAATTGTGAAGTGTTAATTTAAAGTTTAATAAAATACAAAAAATAATGCCTAACAGTATAAAATATATTATTTCATAGGACTAGAGGGGTATTTATGGCCTTAGGAGAAACCCTATTCCACTTGTGGAAGCACATGATCTGTTAGCTATGGAATATTATGTATGAAATGCATTCTCATTTTGTGTACAGAAAAATATCTGCTTCCCTAAATGTTAGTCTTCTCAAGAAAACACATGGTTTTAAAATAATTTCTTAGTGCACATTTACTATTGTAGGAAAGTAAGCATAGCATATTACTGAAAGCTACTATAAATTGCAATATAGCTTCCAAAGACCTACCCATCTGTTTCACATTCCATAATACAGGTTGTGAGAAAAAATTAAAAATGGAAGATCAAAGTTGGAGTAACATTTTATTTCCTCTTAGCTAAGAAAAACTAGGGAGATATCTGAAACTTCGGTCTTTCTCAACTAAAAATCCCTCTGCTCTGAATGAAATGGAGGCTGAGCAGTTGATTCACACAGTTTAAGCCAAGTCTGCTGGATTAAAGAAAACAATTGCATGCAACTGGAACCATATATTACTTTAGCGCTCAAAAATCAATTAACTTCATATTCAAAACAGACTCTTTGTTTTTTTGATTTTCAAGCACGACTATGTCTAAAAATGTAGACCTATTACATCTTCTCATTTTCAAATTGTAAACATGTTTCTAAGGCATCACATACTTGCCTAGGGGTATTTGCTGAAACTAAATTAATAAATTACTTGACTCTGGGGAGCACTGGTATGCTAATTAGTTAACTGACCGCTGATTTACTAGTTAATTAGTGTTAACAATAGTTTGATGCACTAATCTGATTTAGGCAAATTGCCTGTTGAGAATGTTGTAGCGCAAAAGTATATTGTTAGATTTGAAAGGGCAGGACAGAGACTGATTTAACTCAATGGAGCCCTTCTGCTGCATCAGTTATTTGGACAGATATCACAAGAGTGCAAAAGCCGTTTGATGCATTATTGTTGTTAATCTAAAGAATGAAATTATCTGATTGAATGGCTAAAATAATGGAAAAGATGGATGCTGTAGTACAATTTCCTTTCATTTGTTCTTTTCTCCTTACCCTTCAGTGTGTTCTTTACAGGATGCTCCTTTTCAGTGTTTTCATCTGCAGCATTCTGTCCTGGATCCCCATCATGCCTTCCCTGTTACTTGATCTATGGGGTTAACAGCATTTGCAAATATTAATTTAGCTACTCTCTATAATCCAGAGTCACCACCTACAGATGGTAAAACCTAGTTGTTTCTCTAACCTGTGTTCTTCTGGACTTAGTGCAAACCTACTATTATTAATATGGACCTTTACCACATTTTGTGTATGCCTCTAGCTCTCTCTGATCATTCTGTGGCAGACACCCTCTCTAATTTGCACATCCCTTTTGTTTTTCACATTCAGGCTTCTCTGGTCTCTAACAGATTCTTTCTGTCTAGAATCTTGGAGATGTTTGTATACATCTGTACAGAAAGCATCGGGTCACGTCAAATTTTATTATACAAGTTTTTTACCTTTTGGCTAGATAAATACAGTATTTTCTTGTTCATATTTGTCTGAAATGACATCAAAATAACATTGTGACTTCGCTCTTTTTTTGAACAAATCTAATTTTTCTTCTCTCAGCTCAATCCTCTTACTTAGGTCATATTAAACATGATCTTGTCCTGTCTCTGAAGATTTTTTTGAGACTGTCTTTTCTTATTCAGTGAGAGTCTAGTTGTTACATTTTCAAATAAATACCTCTATAATTTTCTATGTAACAATTCATACTTGGAAGACTCCTTGAAACTATCTGTAAAGCAGTCCTTTGTTACTAATTTTAAGTTCCTTCTTAAAATTTTGCTTTGTCTATAAAAAAAAATTACACGACAATTAAGCTGCCAGTATGTGTAGACTACTGCCTTCTGTATGGATGTCTGTCATCACATTATCCCTTTCTATTCCCACTCTGTTGTGTAATTAGAAAGGGTATTCTGTGGGGTAATGCACCCTTTCTTATTCTGTTAATGTGCTATCTGAACACTTGAGTCTTGGTTCAAAATCAGGACTTATAGCAGTCTGCCAGTTACATATAACTGGTATATTTTTACATTGTATAATCGATGCTATTAAAAAAGCTCAATGAAAATAATTATAGATTAGAAAAATAGGCCTAATCAGGAAATACAATGACACACTCACAGTGCTTGCAATTAATATACAGTACCTGATACAATCAAAGAAATCCCTGGATAAATGCAAATCTTTTATATTTTGTTTTTGAAAATTAGTATCTTGTATAAGGCAAATCTAGAAGTAAAGGCTTAAGTTTCTAATGGGACAAACCAGATGTTTCCTGTTTGGAGGGTTCCCAAGAAACTAGATCTTAAAAATGTCATTAGACCAGGGCTGAAATTTGTCAGGCCTGACAATAGGCTGTTTATAAGTTTGAGGAAAATGTAATGTTTCTTCAGGAATAAGGAAGTCATATTTTATTATATTTTTAAAGGATTTGTTGCATTCAAATATCATGTGGATCAGATATTACTCAAGGTTTTGAAACATAGTTGTAAAGAAACTTATGGTAGAAATAACTGAACTGCTCATTGCGCTGGATGACTTCTCACCTGAAATACGGGAAATGTAGTGCTGTGTTTTCAAAGGGTGGGTGGAACTTCTGCCCAGGGAGGCTGGTGACCATTGTAAGGAAAATGATGGGATACCATCTACAGAGAATTTACTGAGGTGTGAATAAACACGACATAGTGGTAAAGAGTGACAATGCATTTTGTAATGGGAAGCTGTGTGTCGTGAATATACTGGTCTTCTTTGAAGAAATTAAAAAGTGGATGAGGGGCAACTTGTTTGATTTCCAGAAAGTATTAAACAAGATCCAATTTTATGTAGACAAATGTAAATTGATGCATATAGGAGAAGAATAATACTAATTCATAAACTGAATTCTGAGTTGAGCTTTCCATCTCACTGTAGTCAGTTCTATGGAACCAGCAGTTCTTTGCTCACCAGCAGCTGAAAAGTAAATAGACTGCAGCTTTCTCCCCAAGAATCATTGCAACATGAAAAAGAAGTAGTACAGATCATTCTGATTCCACTTTTAAATCTGTGCTGCATTGGTGCTTTTCTGATTTTCCTTATCTTGATAGCACTATCGAAAAAACAGGAAAGGTACCCTGAGGGATCTCATAGGCAATCAAAGAGAGAGATGAGCTTTGGTACAAAGAATAACTAAATAGCCTGACTTCTCTGCCTGTGATGCTCAGTAGAAGGGAAACCAAATAGAGATTATAAGAATTGCATAAAGTCGTAAGCATGTTGAGAAGATGTATGTTAATCCACAAATTATTATCTTTTCCAATCCAGCACTAGAGGTAATTTCTTGAAATAATCAGACCCAAATGCCTATATGCTTAGCCCAGGGCTAAATATACCTTTGATATGACCCAGTATGGCTGTTCTCATGTTATTTTCTGATGTTTTCTTATCATAATTTCGAAAAATGTCTAGTAGCAAAAAATCAGTGTAAGGGTTTACAAAATTTCGGTTAAATGTAGTCAGCATTTCCATGTTTCTACTAGGTTATTTTCTTCTTCTATGGAGAAATCTAGTCTGCTGTTCAGTACTTTTTATCTGGAAACTCTTGTTCACTTCCTCTTTCAGGGCTCGATGGAGCTTTTTCATTCTTTCGGAATAAATGGAAGAATTTTCCCTTTACTGACTTGCATATTGAGCAATGGCAGGAGGCCATGGATCTCTAAACTGCAGCTAGCACGAATAGCATGAAGACTTACAACATTCACTGTATGACTGGGCAGCTGAATAATTTACTGCTTTCATGGCTTTGGTCTGAAAGTTTCCTACCACATCTGAAAAGAATCTTTTAAGCTTTCTGTGCAGATAGTGCTTTCTGAAGTTTTGATAGACAGAAGATTAGATACAATGGAAGTGTGTCAGGATGAAATCCGAGTATGTTTTGCTAGTCCTTTACCTTGTAAAATATTCCAAATGCCTTAGCACATCACACTT